AAAAGAAAAATTTTACAAAAAGGAAGTGCAACGATTTTACACATCAAAGTCTGTTCAAAATTGATCTAGGAAGGTAGTGCACATGTGGTAAAAAGCCCTCTGTAGCTTCAGACAAGTCTCAACACTACAGGTTAGGCCTATAGCCCACTCCTCATCTCTGCTTGATGCTGGAGGCTCCAAGCTACATTAGCTGCTTTTCTAGCAGCTAAGAGGAAATCAAGACCTTTTAATACCATCTAAAATGGAATACAATACCCATTCCACAAAAATATGACAGCATTATAGAAAACCAGAAGGTACAAAATGTTCCAGATTCATTATTGTACCCCATTTCTTTCAGTAATTACATGCATCATATAAACAGCGTTGATAGTTGCAACAACCTCACTTCTAGTTACAGGTGTATAGCAGTAAAATCATAAAATCTATCCTCATTGATATAAAGGAGGCAGACAAAACAACAAAGTGGCACAGCAGCGTCTAAAACGATCACCTTTCTGAAACAGTTTCATCACCTTCATGAGGGGAGGACTGACTGCAGCACTGCCAAATTAAGCTCCATTAGTTTTACCTTTAATAAACTGCCAACAGGTTTTTTTTTTCTTCTTGACACCAACCTTCCAAAAAGATGTATTATATTTTGCTGTTCTGGTTTCACAGTTACAGAGCTGGAGCCACAAGTGTTTCATTACCACTTTAATTTCATGAGCAAGAATTTTGTGAAAATGTCTGTGGGGGGGCTCAGAGTAACTAATAACTCAACAACCTACAGTCATACGCAAAACATTCTGGGATTAGGCTGCAGTTACAGGCAGTAAAGCTAACAAATACTGTGACCTCCTCCCTCTGGCAACATTCCTACAATCCCTGTAAAGAAGAAAAATTATAAAAATGATCTACAGGCTTATTCTCACACAATGTTCAATAAGAATGTTTAACATTCCCTTCTTGATTAGCTCTGCTCCCTATCTCAGCTGGGTGTGTGTGTGTGTGTGTGTGTGTGTGGTGGTGGGGAGACTGATTGAGTTTTCAGTGACTCAATCCCGGTTGAATTGCAATTGCAGAGGCTTTTAATTAGATAAAGCTTGGCTGCTTTGAACATATACTTTACAGCCGTGTCAGGCTAAAAGGGTCCATGTGTCGTAAATATCACCCAAGACATTAATAGAATTGAGATTAGAGGGCAGTGTGGATCAGTGTAGAAAGGCAGCCAGCAGTGGGACAGCTTCATGCAGTGAGCTATTTATAGCTGCTAAAATGGACGGCTCCATTAATATAAGTCTTACCCTTTCTGGAAATGTAAATCACCAGGGCCATGGCTCGACGTCCGTGTTATACAGCTGCAGTATGTCACAGTTATCAGTACTGTCTCTCTGATTTACACTGGTTTGGAATAAAGGAAAGAAGATTGCTTCATTTCTGTGCACTATCCTCACCAACATCTTGTGTAGTTCTAGTCGGTGTGGTATCTTAGCAATGTCTAAACTATCAGAACAAGTAAGCATCTGAGATTAGATGCATGACTGCCAAGGATATTAATTGCATGCCTGTTTCAGAAAAGGCTAAACTACTGCTTCTCAGCAGGCTAGATGTTTAAAGTTGAGATCTGTCGCTTATGTGCTCTCCATCAACCTGCCCTCGATGCTTATATCGTTCACAGACAGATAAAGTGAGGGAACACAAGAGACGGAGAGGCAGCCAGAGATCACAGCCTCAGCGGACATTCCCACAAGGCCGAGGGCTGATCAATAACGTCCGCATTTCAAAACTGCACCAGATTAAGTCCAACATGCCTCATTCTTTAAAGCACCACTGGCCCCAGGTCTCATTTAGAAGCATCTCACATCCAATCAGACGACTTATGTCTGTTCTTTTGAAATAACTTCACTTGCTCTTCTTGCTCGAGCATATCAGCTCGCTCCTTTTCTCTCTAATCCCCCTCCTCTCGCCGTCAACACTGTGTACAGCTCAGGCACTCTCTACTACTATACACCACAGCATACGTGTACTGTGTGGTTCAGAGCACAAAACTAGCCAGCAGTGGAGGAAACATTCTAATTTCTACTTTGGGTATAAAGGCAGAAGAATGAAAAAAGACTCCATTACAAAGATAATGTGCAGTGAATGAATCGGTACTGTCAGCTGCTCCCGGGCTCCTTAACCACAAACCTTTATAACAAATTTTTTGAATGCATGCTGTACAGGTTTAGATATCTGAATGCAGTTTTCCTAATCCTTTATTACATTATTGACTTGTAATGTAGTTTTAAGTGCAGATTTATTTGAGAACTCTGCACTGAATTACCTCATAATGTAATTTTGACAGCAATGAATGGAAGCCAATAGCTGGATAGATAGTGAGAAAAATACAATCAAATTTCTTAAAGCTATTCTGGGTCAATATTTGTCTGTGAAATGCTGTGGATAAATAGAATATATAAAACTGACACACTGAGGTAAAGTACAATTAAATCTAAACTACTGAAAGACAGTGTTTGAATAAATACACTCACTACTGCAGCCAGTGTAATGGCAAAAAGTTGATGCGTATAACAATGTTCATGCCTCTGCAGAGCTTTTCACTGACCTCTCTTGCACCACATGGCGACCTCTGTACACCCTGGGCCTCAGAGGGATGGCAAAAATGCTGGTTATTCATACACATGGGACAGCAGAGATAAATATACATGTAGATGAAAGTCCAAGAAAAATACAGAGGATGGCATAAGTGGAAGTCAAATCATAAGACATCAGAAAGCAGTTTATGCAGAATTATAAAAGGGAATTATGTTCACTACTCTCATGTGAATAATAATGTGATTTCACAGGAAATAGGCATTTAATGAACAAATGATTCAGAGTCAAAAGCACACATAGTATATTATCAGAAGCTATAGAATGAGAGTTCTGCCAGTGGACGCCAAGCTGCTTGGAATGAAAAGAACTCTCAACAGGCCAATACAGCAGGAACATATTCATTTCTACTAGTGCAATGAACATAGTAATATAATTAATACAGGCGAGAGAAGAAAAATATTTGCACAGTGCAAATAAAGCCTTAATGAGAAAAGCCTAGACCATGAATGCACAAATGTGGCAGCTCTATGATTAGAATATAAGGACATGAAACAGAGGACACGCAGCTGGTGTATGAGGCATAATGAAAATAAAATGTTAATGTGAAATTTTCATGGAGGAACCTATATGACAACTGCCTACGTGTGCACTTTCTGACTTTGATACATTAGTCACCAAGAGACTTATAAAAAAAATCTGATGAACTCTATCAATAAAAAATGATATAATTATATAGAAAGTAGTCAAAGATGGAGTCCTTCTCACATTAAAGTCCACAGCAGGACTTAGGTCGCTCTGAGTGCTTCCAAGATAATAAATCATGCACATATGTTTATAGAATAAAGCCACAGTTTAAATAATTACACTATAATAAATAATGTTTAAGAACTGACAGCCACAAAGTCAGTTTACCCTCCTTTAATGAGATTCAATTATTTAATTTTTTATTTTTTATTTTAATTACTTCCACCAAGGTTCTTGAGACTGGGAGTTTCTTTTCATTCACTATTTGGGTTTTAAAAAAAAACTTGTATTCACTCTATAAAAGTCATCCTCTGTACACCTTTAGCACTCATGTAGCTCCATGTTTCGTGGATGGCAATGTGCAGTCACTGTGGTAGTAATGGTTTTCTTTTTGTTTGTCGTCTATTGACTTCATGGGATGTCCTTCACACTGTCTGATCAGTCACTGAAACACCAATTTGCACAGATAATTCTCGGGCCAAGTCAGAAGCACTTACCCATCTGTTTATCAATGCAAGGTTGGGTTAATAGTGAATTGTGTGTGGCGTCATTTTCGAGGCCCTGTCTGCTACTGGTAGTAAGGCTCTTCCTATGCTTCCTCACCACTGCTGCAGCTGTAAACCTGAAACCTACAGTGGCATTTATTAAAAAAAAAAAGAAGATATTTCTCACTTTTTGGTTTTATCATTATGTTTCTTCTCATATTATTTCAGAGGCTTCACTTCGTGCAGTAGTGTATTTACAAAACTCTGATTATCTCAGTGTAGTTATAGTTCCACTGCCATGGAAAGTATTGAACTAACAATTTCTCTAAAAACTAAAGTTTTTTCTTTGTGTTACAAGTTCGCACACCGACGTTGCTTCATCATCACTGTTCCCACCTTCTGCATTTTTGTGAAAACACAGGAAAGGTAATTTTTAGCTACTGTTTGCAATAGTGGCAGTTTTTCTTTTCCTGTGCACTACACAAAGCTCAAACATGGCTTTAATTTGAAAGTTTTACAAAAATAATTCAGGGAAAATCTTACAAATCTGACATAACATTTCATCATGAACAGAAAAATCATGTTCCATTATAGTGAACCAAAGGCTCTTAAATGGATATTTGACAGTGTTTCTGTGGCTGTTTTCTTAATGACAACTTTCATGTAATATTACCAGTTGAACACAGTTTGTCCTAAACTACTATATATTCAGTGTCTCTGTAGTGGCAGAAAAATTTTATAGCTAGCAAACGTGACTTCCTTTTGATAATAATCCTGAATATTATCTTACAAAATTGCTACATCCCTAAAACCCCTCCCGGTGCCTCAGATCGGCTGACCAGCTGCTCTTGGAGGTACC